GTTACAACCTAATATAATAGTGAAATAGTGAAATCTGCTGAGATTGTGAAAACTACAGATTGATTTGGAAAGGTGGTGGTCGCTTGAGCACTTTAGACTATAACTGCAACTTTCTGTAAAAGAATTATATGTCGATTAGGACATGTGATGTTTTCCAAATATAAAATAAGTAGGGAAATTATGTAACGGTTGAGGATTCGTTTGAAAATCACAAAAGTGGAAATATTTTTTCAAAAAAATTGCAGCTCACTATTTTGTAGCTTAGAAACAAATGGTAGTGATGAGCAAGGTACTAAAATTTAACTTTGTTATCAGATGCCCATTCTTATGGACGATTTTTCGAAATGTGTGATTCTGCTCAAAAAGCATGTTTACACAGGTTTTCGTTCACATGATTGAATTGTTTTTTCTTAGAAAATGCTAAATGAGAAAGGAATTGATAGCTGACCTGTTTCGATGACTCGAGTAGAGGTGCTGCTGCAATGTGAACATAGAGACGTTGTATTGTAAAGACAAAATCAAGCGATGTTACCGCTTACAGCTTTTAATTTTTTTGGAGATTGCACTTTGGAGGTTAGGGTTTTCAACAACATCATCTAGATCGGACATCACTGGCATAATGATGAGTCATCAATCCTGTACGCCTGCAGCGGCATGTTACCGCTCACAGCTTCTAACTTTTTGCAGACTGCACTTTGGAGGTTAGGTCATCAACATCGTCTAGATCAGACATCACTGGCATAGTGATGAGTCATCAACCCTGTACGCCTGCAGCGGCACGCAACGACAGACCTGTTGACATCTCAGGAGGGGGGGGGGACATGTTACAGAGAGACACCGTGCGCTTTATTATATAGAGAGACCGCTTCGCGGCACTTTGGTCTGGTAAGTGGGTGTGGGCAATGTCTAAGCGGTACTGTCTTGATTGGATGTTTCATTTTCTTCACATTCTATTGAAATATTCTATCTTCTACAGTATAGATGAGAACGCTTTATAACAAAATGACCATGGTTCAAGTGAATCAGGGTTTGTAGTTTATCTGACTGCAACATTGATAATTCTCATGTTTTGGCAAAAAGCTTGTAATCCGTTTCACATAAGTGAATTTCATGTGTTATAGTACGAAACAGTACTCTCTGCTGATGTCTACAACAGTGAGATAACGTGAGCAAAGACACGGAGAAAAGTTTCGATTCTAATATGTCTGATATATATGCACTGTTTTAGATATCTCAAACTGCGTTGCAGTTAGACCTTCCATATTTCTGAATTCGTAGTTGCTGCCGTTGCGTAAGCAGTAGCAGGTAGTAGCGCTGAACACAGCTGTGTGAATGCGTAGATCGAAGGCAGTTTGTATTTATAATTCTACCCTATTGTATTTTTGGATTTATGTGAGAGATGAACAGATTTGGGCTTCATGCAAAGCTCAGCAGTACTATTTGATGCAGCGTACAGTGAAGTGTTTAGGGAGATACGGTGTTTTTAAAAACATCTTTGAAAGAGAACAGAATTGGCTTGCGTTCAAAAAATTGAGGTTTTTTTAAGGCGAGTGTAAGTGGCTCGGAACAGATTTCGAAAAAAGCTACGCTGTTTTGAAAATGGTTTCTATATTAAAAGGCTCACCACCACGTGATTTCTAAAACGTAAAAAGATAATTCATCTCTGAGAATGCATAAGAGACTTTTGAAATGGGAGAATATTTTGGAAAGCATAAAAAAATTCTGGGGCAAGTCAGTTGAGGAATGTGATTACAAACTGACTTACATTGAGTAAAGCACAAAATAACTGGCTTTTGGGAGCGAAAACGAACAGCTTGATAACTCTAGTTCTGATCAGAGATTATTCATGATAGTGAAATCGGGATATTGTGAAAATTACAGATTAGATTTTCGAAAGATTGAGGAAAATCACAAAACTGGATATGTTTTGTAGCAAAATATTGCAGCTCAATTTGTATTTTAAAAGGCGAATGTTAGTGATGAGTAGATACGAAGTCGATCTCTTGGGAAACAAACTCAAGGAGAGAGGCAATCTAGGGTTATATATTAGGTTGTAACAGAATTAATGCAGGTTTTTCAAATTTTGAGTTTGGACAACTATATCTTTTCACAGAAATAGGCAATGCGTTTCCAATAAAGACTACTGTAATTAGCAAACCTTTGGGACCGATTTTACGCGGTGAATTTAGAGCAAAGAGTTTGAAAGGAAAATAATTCAGAGTTTAGCTTTTTGATTTTGAAGGCGCGTAATTTCGGGATGAATCCACTACTCTCGAAACGAAAGCATGCCTACGAAACTAGAAGAAGAGTGTTTTTAGATGATAAGCATAGTTTTTTGGGACCTTGGAATTTTATTTTGAATCAGCACATCGAAAAAGAGGTGCGAAAAACCTGCATTAATTCTGTTACAACCTAATATAATAGTGAAATAGTGAAATCGGCTGAGATTGTGAAAACTACAGATTGATTTGGAAAGGTGGTGGTCGCTTGAGCACTTTAGACTATAACTGCAACTTTCTGTAAAAGAATTATATGTCGATTAGGACATGTGATGTTTTCCAAATATAAAATAAGTAGGGAAATTATGTAACGGTTGAGGATTCGTTTGAAAATCACAAAAGTGGAAATATTTTTTCAAAAAAATTGCAGCTCACTATTTTGTAGCTTAGAAACAAATGGTAGTGACTCGAGTAGAGGTGCTGCTGCAATGTGAACATAGAGACGTCGTATTGTAAAGACAAAATCAAGCGATGTTACCGCTTACAGCTTTTAACTTTTTTGGAGATTGCACTTTGGAGGTTAGGGTTTTCAACAACATCATCTAGATCGGACATCACTGGCATAATGATGAGTCATCAATCCTGTACGCCTGCAGCGGCATGTTACCGCTCACAGCTTCTAACTTTTTGCAGACTGCACTTTGGAGGTTAGGTCATCAACATCGTCTAGATCAGACATCACTGGCATAGTGATGAGTCATCAACCCTATACGCCTGCAGCGGCACGCAACGACAGACCTGTTGACATCTCAGGAGGGGGGGGGGGACATGTTACAGAGAGACACCGTGCGCTTTATTATATAGAGATATATATATATATATATATATATTAGGTCGTTCCGAAAGTTCTTTCCGTTCTTTCAACCTATCATAAAAACAGGAGGAATGAAGGTAGGGAAACGCTTTAAAAACTATCCGACGCAGCTTTTCTTCCTCTTTTCAGCTGTCATATTCCTATGGCGCTTGCTCTTGCGATCAGTGAGATAATGTTCGAAATTTCAAACCCATGCTTTTCACGATACCCAACTTTGGCAGTTTTTCACGATCTTCTTTTTTGACTTTTGGAGAAGCTTTGATAGCAGTCAGATAAAGCAAACAAAGTGCGATTTAATGCAATTTTTTGGCGCCCATAGCTAGCCTTGAAAATTGTTTAGAAATATTTTTTCTGATGCTATCAAATTCCACTTTTGGTGATGCCAAGAATCATAGAACATAAAACAGCGCACAACTAAGGTGTCATTCGATGCAGCTTTTTCTCCTCTTTCTATTGAGTATGTTCCTTCCCAATTTGTGGGAGTTTTTGGCGATAAAGTTTCCATAATTCTTGATTTTGAACTCGCCTAAGGGTGTGCACGCGAAAACGAAATCTTATATTTCGAAGCGGTAAACACTGAGTTACTTTGTAAAAATAGTGGACAATCATATACGACTTTTGAAAGTGTCGAAATCCGAAGATTTGTTAATGTTTGGAGCGTTTTTGTTTTTTGTGATTTCGAAAAAATGAAGACATCTGGAAAAATTATCTCAAAAAATACTAAGAAGCCAGTCAAAGTTGCCAAAAAAATTCCATTAGATTGCACTTTGTTTGCTCTATCTGAGTGCTATTGAAGCTTTTCCAAAAGTCAAAAAAGAAGGATGTGAAAAATTGCCAAATTTGGACACCATGAAAACCAAATGTTCGAAATTTCAGACATTATCTCAGTGATCACAAGAGCAAGCGGCACATGAATATGACAGTTGAGAAGAGGAAGAAAAGCTGCGTCGGATAGTGCCTAAAGCGTTTCCCTAGCTTCATTCTTCGTGTTTTTATGATAGGTTGAAACGGAAAGAATTTTCGGAACGACCTAATATATAACTGTAGCAATTATGAGGATTTTGCCAATAGAATCTTGGAACTTTGTGAAGCATGTGTGCAGAATGATTGGGAACCACGCGAGGTAATTAAAACTTTATGTCACACATTACGCCAAAGACCTTATATCATGAGGAAGTATGGATTTGACAGTGCATTACACATTCCTTTACTCCATAAAGTACATAGTAGAATGCTTGATCTACTGGGCGGGGAGCGGGCAGTACACAGGCGGGAATAACCAGGAGACTTTACGGGTCAGCACTCATTTATGCTTATTTGTCTTACACTTCGCCCTCTTTCATTTCATACTTTCATCCTCACATTCTTTTATTACTTAATTATTTCATAATACTCCTCATTCTTCTTATTATTTCATATTACTTTTGGAAGCCTTCCTGTGAACTACTGATGAGGGGCGGCAGGTTGGCCACACTTCTGGTCTAGTTCAAGCCCCGAAACCAGAGTGTGAAAATCCAATTTTGGTTCATGCTGGACTTTGCATCTCAATTACCTTCAGCATTACCTCCTTATTCATAAAAAATTTCAACTTTGGTAATGTTTTGTCTGATTTGAATCACTTCTCATTTATGCAATAAACTGGGGAAATATGGTGACGTGAGGTAAACCCCACTCCCATATTGAACCAGTATCTACGTGCGGTATGCATGTAGAGATCCTATATGTCCAACAATTTATTGAAAAATCCAAAAAACTTTCAAAACTTTCGAAAAATCTCGAACATTCCAGTAACCTCAGATGCTCATAAATGCAGATGAAACTCCAAAAAATGTTCATTAAATACAAAAGTCAAAAGCTCAACAACAGAAAGTCAAGTAACTCAAAAGACAGATCAAACAAAAATTGCCTTAATTACTTTCTCGGTTCAAAGGAATAAGTTTCGCGGCTTTAGAATCAGGACCCACAGCTGCCCCGGCGGGTCTCTTGTTTGCGCCTCTGTCGGGTCGCGCCTTCGCGGTAGACGAGTGTTTCCTCTTTTCCTCCTCTATCTCATCGAGACTAATGCCGAAACGGACGGATGCATCGCCCACAGTGATATACTGAAAGTAAAACAAATCTAAGATATATAATACTAATACTCGAACTCACCTCTTTATCAATACGTAAACAAAGTTTCCTTTTGTCGACCAAGACGAAAAACACAGGAGAAGTCGAATCTACTTTCTTCTTTTCGAGCATTTTCTTGATTATTAGTCTTTTGCAAGCACAGGATGTTTCATAGTCACATCTCTCAGTAGGTGTCAAAACTCGACCAATAGTTATCTTCTGATCTGAAATAAAGATGTCATTTATCGGCCAGTCAAAACTCAAAAAATTGATTTTCTGCGAACACGTAGAAATAAATATAGACACACCATAATCAACGACAATTATCTAAAAACTCGAAAAAGCATTTGATATTCGACTTCAACACTCACTTTAATCGGCAAAATCAATAAATAAGTAATTTAGAACTTACCGACAGGCATCTTCTTGTTCAAAGTGATGATTTGTTTTTGGAAAACAGCTGACATCACGTGGTCAAAGTGACGTTGAGCGAGAAAAATCTAAATAGAAATGTTGAATTTTGGTTCAAACTTACTACCAAAAATAAATCTTGATTACTTTGAAACTAACTCACTGATAAGTTACAAGTACCACCGGTTTTATTCACGTACATCATATCGGTCGCTAAAATATCCCTGTCGGAGTCGAATACTGGTTTTCCATACGCCAATTTTTCGAAAAGCTGCTGCACAGCGTTGCTCTTGGACATTCCGAAGGGCAAGGGTAGATTGACAATCTAAAAATTGCAAGATTTTAACAAATATCGATAAGAAATAATTGCACTTACCATTATCCAGTTGGTTCGTGTCATCCTTCTCACTTGTTCGATTTCCCTTGACATCGACTCCTGTTTTGCCTTCATTTGATCGACGACAGATCCTAGCGATATAAAAGCAGTAGATAATTCGCTGCTTAGGCCAGTAGCAGGCTGAAGAATAGTGCGAAGGATGGCAGCAACCGAATTAGACATTTCAATATGAAAATGAGTTTTCATACGCCTTTTATAATAAACACTTTTATACACTCAACTCCCGCCAAAAAAGTTTTTGACCTAGTCGGTGCACGAGGTATATTAGGTGAAATCATGACAAATATGCAAGCTATTGAAGTTGAGTATAAATAAATCATTACTTAACACTACTTTTAAAGTTCTTAGATAACTTTACTAGTTTAGAGAACCAACTGTATACACTAAGTAGTATGCGATTTAAGGGTTGGCAATGCCTGATTTGACTGTGACGTGTAGTGTAGTGGCTAAAGCAATGGGCTATCAAGATAAGCTAGCCGTAGGTTCGAATCCCTCTTACTTTATTAAGGTTGAAACAGCATAAAGAAGTATAACGGTTCATAAGTGACGGCTTATATGTCTGTTTACCTTACAACTCAGAATTTAAAAAAGCTTTGAAATCCTTGTTCGGTAATACTTGTCAGAGCCCAAAGTAAAGACAAATAACGCCTCATCCTCGTGTAACAAGTGGTGTAATGGATAGAGTGTTAGTCTAGTAAGACAAAGTAGATGTAGGTTCGAATCCTTGTTACTTTAACAGAGTTAAAACAGCATAGAAATGTATTGCTCATATGTATAATTATGTTGTAGCTTCAAAAATGGAAAAAGCATCGGAATTCTTTGTTCAGAAATAAATATCACAGCCAAACTAATAGGAAGACAGAAAACGCTTGCTCTTTGGGTAGTAAGTGGTCTAATGGTTAGTGATGTAGTCTCTCAAGACAGAGTAGCTACAGGTTCGAATCCTTCATACTTTGATATGAAACTAAAGCACCAATTAAGTATTGCTTACTTGTTTGTTAGTTTTATATTGTAAGTAAATTAGGAGACATTAAAATCCTTCTACAGCGATAGATATCAGATCCTAAAACTAATAGCCAGATAGTGATTGCCAAAAAGCGACCAATGGTGTAAAGGTTAGTGAGATAGTCTCTTAAGACAAAATAGAGTGGGTTCAAACTCTTCATATCTTGCTGAAGATATAATAAGATAAATAGGCTGCTTATATATTTATCAACCACAGCGATAAAACATTAGTAGCTCATTGTCTTTTTCACCCTCCAGCATTAAGAGTTGGAGAAGGCGTAAGGCCTTTTGGTGAATAGAGCACTATATCACGTCAAAGAGTTTGAAAATAATGAGCAATGGATGCGTTTAAAGAGTGAAAAGTATGTGCAGCAGTTATTTCCTCCTCTTTTTGTCCTTTCGTCTACATCTTTTGAAATAGGGAAACCTCAAGAATTCTATCAGGGATGTATTAATTCATTCACCCTCCTGCATTAAGAGCAGGAGAGGCATAAGGCCTGTTGGTAAATAGAGCATTCTAATTTTATACGATACCGATTGCAAATGCACTTATAGTCCATTAAAAATTCATAACGCAGAACAAAATGTCTTGTAACTTCGAGATTATCTTATGCATCTAATAACCCGTCATAATATTATATGTGGTCCTGCGTTCCATTATATGTCTTCTACCAATTTCATATACAAAAATTATTTTTAGTGTTTATAGTTATCATATTAAAAGGTTCATTAATATATTTTCCATAATATACGATCATTATAATCTATTACATTAGTTATACAGATGCAGGTTGGAAAGTTGGTTCTGTTGAATCATTCAAGGTAAATGGAGTTAGTTCCTATAATCATATTTGATGAGTATAAATTGAAATGCTACAGAACCCACGGTCTAAACCTAGTGTTCCATAGTAGAACATTACCTCCAGGCACAATAAGTACATATCAATACATTCACGCTATTACATAGCCGCTGTGATGTCAACATTACATACAAAAAATCAATTATATAATTCGGGAGAACCCTGGCGCGGTGTGGGCACCCCATCCTATGCGGTTTACACTGCGGGTAACGCTCCCCAGCGAAGAAAAGGCTTGCCCCTGCCGAGGAGGAAACATCCTCCGATAAAGAAACTGCATAAGGGTCCAGGAAGGACCGCCTTGGACTCGATGGACACAGGTCCAGCAACAAAAACCAAAATATAAGTAATACAAATGCTATGTGTTCAGTGTTGTCCTTGTCTAATAATACAAGAGATCAAAACAGATGCAGAGTAATTACAACATCAAATTCAAGTGAGCATAGAGGCAATCGATGTAGTAGAAATAAATGTGCTATATGTGATCTTATGAATTTCCAAGGCGTAGTCAAAAGTTCAATCACAAATTATTATTTTAAAACGAATAAACCACAAAAATGTACATGTGATACAAACAATGTAGTATATATGATAACATGCCTTACTTGCCAAATGCAGTACGTGGGGGAAACGTCACAAAAGCTAAGAGCAAGGATAAGCCAACATAATAGAAATATTCAGAAACAAGTCCTAAACACATACTTGGTAAACCACTTTAAGAACACCGGCCATGATCCCTGGAAGATACGTGTAGATGTTTTGGATCATGTAGCTGATACGGAAGGTATTAAGTCCAAATTACGAGACAAAGAGTTAGAATGGATAAAATATATGATTACCGCTTACCCTTTCGGTCTGAACGATCAAATAAAAGGGTTTGGTAATATATCCGAAAAGGTAAACCCTTTGGAAAAAAGGAACCATCCATACTTTACATATCCAGTAAAAAGACCAAGAACTAAAGGGAAGAAAAGAAGATCAAGAAAGCAAAAAACTTGTCCAGACAGAACAGATCACTTGGTGAATGAAATAAACATCAGACAAGGAAACGAGCTTTATAAATTCTTCAGAACATTGAATAAATATGATATGGATAGGCTTATAGAACATGCTTTCAATGAATCATTCCAAAGTCACTCTTTTGAACTGAAATATAAAATATATGGACTGTTAGCATCTCCCTTTTGGAATAAAAAAGACTCAAAAATATTGAACAAAACAGGAGATCTTATAGTAAGCATCAGATATTTGGGTGAAATAATGTACAAACTAAGGCTTAACAGAATATGCAATAGTTTGCAATTGAAAAATATAATAGCACATCACACACCCAATACACAAGAAGCCAGGGATCTGGTAGTGCAAGTGGTTTACAGAACAGATCCGCCACAGTGCCTAAGAATATTTAACTATAATTATTTTTTGAAGAATCTTGATTCACAAAAAATACAACAGTTAGAACAAAGAGAATGCCCTTGCAGTAACTTTAAAGATTATGTGGATCCTGTTCATAAACATGTTTGTACTGGGAACCTAAACTTAATCAAAGATGTGAAGCTCAGACAATTGTTGGGTAAAGGTACAAAATACCGAAGGCATAATAGAATCACTAAACAACAAGTTAAAGAGGAAATGGCACTAATGATAACGCAACTGATAAAAAAGTTGTCGAGAAAATACAAGATAATCGGTAATGCAGTAAGTTCATTTACACAGGAAGTGACACATTACATGTATAAAAAGATTCGATCTCAGCTGTTCGACTTATACGATCGACAACAAGTAAACATAGAAAGATACAATATCAAGTCACTGGAAGAAATTCAAGAAAACTTTATCATTACACCCATAGATAAAGCTTCATCCAATTTCAGTCTTACCTGTAAGAAGTTCTATCTGGATAATATAAAAAAGGAATTGGAACAGCATGATAATGATTGTACTTATGTACCGACACGATTACAAGTACAAGAAGTAAAACAAATTCACCAAAGCATCATGCAAAGTTTAAGCATTGGAAAGAATCATGAAGGGGCAGTACCACTAATATATGGTATTCCAAAAATGCATAAAAATCCTATCAAATTTCGTTTTATCACAGGAGCAAAAAATAGTAGTATTAAACCGTTAACTACAATGCTACAGCTAATCTTATCACACTTACGTAAACATTTTAGTAACTATTGCAATGTCATCAGACATAGAACTGGGGTCAGACTTTTTTGGGCAATTAACAAGACTACTGATGTCATCAAGGATGTCAATTTGAACAGCAGAGGAAAAACTCTATTTTCAGCAGATTTTACAAGCCTTTTTACAAGCTTACCGCATCAAGTAGTTAAAACCAACATGGGCAGACTGCTACAGCTGTGCATGAAGGAATATAGATACATCAGAATATCTAGAGACAAAATATATTACAGCTTTAGTAACGAAGGTAATGGAAACTTTTATAGAAAGGAGGATATAATGTATATGATAGACTCCCTTTTGAACTCTTACTATATAATTTTCGGAGGGGTTATATACCAACAAGTAAAAGGAATTCCGCAGGGGGCTTCATGTAGTCCCCAAATGGCTGACCTAACTTTAGCCTATATGGAATATGAATATATGAAATCTTACATACTCAACAATGAAGGAAGCTTACGTTATCTATACAATGAGACGTATCGTTACATAGATGACATCCTTCATATTTCTAATGATGTACAAAGATTTGAGAACATTTTGAAAGATATTTATAACAACAGTCTCACTATAGAAAAAACTAACGACTCAGAATTGGAAACGAATTTCTTGGACTTAAATATAAAAGTAAAAGATGACAAAGTAATCTATAGTTTGTATAATAAGACAGATGCGTATAACTTCAGAGTCTATAAATATCCGCATAAACAATCTAATATACCTAGGCACATTATCTATAATACTCTTGTAGGAGAAGTGCTACGCATAAATAGAAACTGTAGCAATTATGAGGATTTTGCCAATAGAATCTTGGAACTTTGTGAAGCATGTGTGCAGAATGATTGGGAACCACGCGAGGTAATTAAAACTTTATGTCACACATTACGCCAAAGACCTTATATCATGAGGAAGTATGGATTTGACAGTGCATTACACATTCCTTTACTCCATAAAGTACATAGTAGAATACTTGATCTACTGGGCGGGGAGCGGGCAGTACACAGGCGGGAATAACCAGGAGACTTTACGGGTCAGCACTCATTTATGCTTATTTGTCTTACACTTCGCCCTCTTTCATTTCATACTTTCATCCTCACATTCTTTTATTAC